GCTGGAAGGGGAGGGGGCGTCGAGGCCGTGGGCAATAAGGTAGTCGCCGATCGAGCGCCCGGCTGCGATTTGAGGATAGGGCGGGTGGCGGCAGCGGGGGCGGGGCGCGTTGTGTGGGGGTAGGACCGACGGGCCGGGCTGGGGCGGGCCAGCCCAGCCGAGCCGCAGCGGGGAAGCTACGACGCGCGGCGCCCCCGGACGGTCACATGGCGCGCGCGCGCGAGTGTGCGGCGGCGCGCGCCCGCAGCCGCGACCGGCGCGCGGGCGGCTCACCCCAGGTCGGCCCGCACTCGTTCGCGAGGCGTATGCTGCTGCGCCAGCGCTTGTGGGCGGCCTTGCCGCCGAGGCGCTCAAATTCGGTGCAGCCGACGTCGCCGAAGCGCCCGCCGCCCGCGTCAATCAGGATCCGCTGCTTTGATGGCACCATGACGCCGGCCACGCCGCCGCACGTGACGTGCACGAACGGCGCGGCCTGCTGCTGCGCGCTGGCCGCCGCGACGGCGGCCGCCGCCGCGTGCTGCAGCGCCTGCATGCGTCGCGGCGCAGCGCAACGCCCCGGACTGCTTGCTGCGTGCGACCGCTCCCGAGCCCTGGTTTCAAGGCCTCCGGGCCTTTGAGGTTGCTGGATTAAAACCTGATACGTGCCTGTTGCATTTGTGCGAGCGGGTAGCAAGTAAGCGGCGAATGTGACGCGGGTGGGATGGTGTGGCGCGGGCGCATTGCATAGAGCGGCCCGCGCTGGCGCAAGCTCGCCGTGCCCAAGGAGCGCATTCCGTTTTGGCCTACGGCCATGCCGCATGAACACCCAAGATCTATATGTGCACCTTGGCCATGCCTAGGAGCTAGGAGCGCGGCCGTGACAGCCTCCAGGCGCGCGCCGGTAGCAAGCTGCTCAAAGCCATCCTCTTGACGCGCCCAATTGAACTGACGATGCGCGGCTGCTGCAACTCGTTCCCCGCATCAAGGGCTTACCTTAGCGCGTGTGACGCGCGACAATACGATATAGCGGTCCTTGGCAGGGCCGCTGCGCCCACGGGTGGCCGGCTGGCTCAGAGCAGGTGCAGGAACGTGTGCTGTGGTGGTCCTTGCGAGGCTACCGATTATCAACTACAGTATAGTAGAACTCCTTCGGTGCGCTGGAGGGGCCCCAAACTCCTGTGTCCCGCGGGAGACAGCCGAGGTGCGAAGCCCTGCGTCCGGGCTTGAAATGAGCGTGCGTGCACACGAGCTTGCTGCTAATAATGCTTTTATCGAAGCCACGTAAACAGCACCAGCGTATTGAAGGTCCGCCCCCGAAAGTAATATTGCTGACGAGTGTGTGAGCCACGACACGGCCAAAGGCATGAGGGCGGGTGAGCAGGTTGTTGGACGCACGGAAGTCGATCTAATTCATTTTTTGGCGATCACAGAAGGACGCCCACTAGGCCCAGGTTGCTCCGAGCCTGTTCGTCACTGGAGAGTTGAGCGGTTGGGCACGTCTGGCCGCAACCTTGGCGCCTTTGAGGGCTCCCCTGCAGATGTCCCACCTGCAGCCTAACTGAGATGGTTCGAGTTATTTCATCTCAACGACCTGCACATCCGAAGGAGGGCGGTGAACATGCACGGGATGCTCGCCGTGTCGAACGTGTCGCATGACATCTGAGGGTGGCCTGCCGGTGGTAGGGATGAGGCAGGGAACCTGGTGGGAAGCAGCGCCTCATGCGCCAGCGATGCATCGCATGATTTCACTGCACTGACTCCCTTTGTTTGCGCGGTGCCTGCGCGTCAGCACACCAGCTGCTGATGGGAAGGATGACGCGCACGCGCGGCGCAGTGTGATCGAGCAGCTGCCGGGGTGGCCGGAGGTGGGGGGATGACGGACGCGGGTGTTTGCGGCGCCAGCGCACGGCTGCCAGTGCAGGTGCAGGTGCCCAAGCTGACCTTCATCATCCGCCTCAACCCTTAGTGTATACAGGCTCCCTAGTCGCACCACCAAGCTCTCCGACGCCGCCCGTCCCGCCACTGCTGTGCTCTTCCCACCCTCAACCCGGCCCGCTGCCACGTTTCACGAGGTGCCGCAGCTGTGTTTACACACGTGCAGGCGCAAGCTGCGGCCCGCAGAGCTGGTGCGGCAGCCAAGCAAGGCTCAGCCAGGGGTTGAGGGGCGGTTGCGCGATTCGCCAGCGCAGGCGGGAAGGTCCCAACCTACTGCCGCAACTCCCCGGCCGTCCCGTGGCAATGGTGGGCGTGGAATGCCCGAGGGGAAAGATGAGGTTCGTGAGTCATGAAGTCATGTCGAGGCAGTCAAGCTGTGGCTATGACCAGAGCGATGCGGCGCCCCTTTTCAGGGGCTGTGCAGCGAATGCGTGCGGCCGCGGCAGGCCGCGGCTCAGAAGCAGGGTGCGTGCTGTGAGGCGCGGGAGCGCGCCGTCAAACAGACGAGCCCCCACGCCCGAGGCTGGGTTCTAGGCATGCTAGGAGCGCGACGGGGCGTGCACACGCACGGGGCGCGAAACAGAGGAGAGAACGGGGTGTAGCCAAAGCGTCCAACAGGCGGCGCACGCGCCGATTCCGCGCGCTGGGACTGCCGCACGACAAAAAAAACGAACGAGGCAGCTGACGGCGCAGAAGCAGGCTCCGGCGCCCCGTCAGCGAGAAGGAAAGGGGGGTGGGGCGCCGGCCGTGGGCGG